GTATACTTTGTTTTTGAAGAAGAAACGACATTTTTTTCACTAAGCAAAAGTACAGGGCAAAACATCACCCCTTAAACTCCACTTTGAAATATTTTGCGTTCAARAAAGTTTATTACTTTGATAATTTAAAAATAAGACGCTACGATTGGAAGAGAAAAAGAACAGTTCACGTAGGTTCTATTAAGGTGAATACTGGATGACTGAATACCTTATAAATTGTATTTTATACGATCTTTAGTTAGTTATGCTTATAATAATGCTTCACGAGGTTTTTCCAACCCTTTGCCGGTCATAAAATGCGTCTAGCAATGATCTAGTAACCATTGTTTTTGCTTTTTAACAAGAATTTTCTCGTAAACTCTCGAGACTTTCATTTGCACCACGAGTATATTGTATAATAACATTTCAGCATGCTTATTTTGGGCAAAAATTGTCCATGGTTTCTCGGATTCGGAACCATGAAAAACAGGAAAAGTTTAGATGTGAGGGCGATAATTACTATGCGTTGCTCTTATGTCTCTTATAATAGACTATTTACGAGAGAACCAACACACCCATTAACCGTTATTTCACTTTATTGCTCAATTTATGTACATTACATGTATATAGATCTATATATATAGATATATATATAGATATATAACGTACTGATGATATACAATATAACAGAAGCTTCATTGAGTACGATTACAGCTGATTTACATCAGAGAAATATGAAAGCAACTAGCAAGATGATTTTTAGTTATATCGATAGGTTTTTCCAAGGCCTTTTGTTGCTCCATTTTCTTGGAGCTGATCTAAAGAAAGCATTAAATTGACTGTCAGTTTATTTTAAGGACRAAATGGTGTGTAACAGGGTGTAGTGTTTTCGCATTTCCGTCGTTATTAGCAGCCCATCTAAAACATTCAAAAAATTGTTTTGATTTAAAAATATATGAAGGCATAATCCATCTTTTAGAAGCTAAGTGAATCTTAGAGATAAGGGGGATAATGATAGTAATAGAGCTATGATAGTTTGGAGACTACGTTTCCGGAGTTTCATCAATTGTTTTAGAGAAAATTATCCCTTGGGTGAGAATGACTTCAAAAACGCTGAACTAATTGTTGATGTGARTTGTTGATGGGATTAGGAATATCCTTTTTTGTTGAATTAATCAATAAACACGGGCMATTGATGATTACTTGGGTAACTTTAATTGATGTCAATTGAACAATGAAAACTGTTGTTCCTGTGCAGAAAGGGTTCCTTCCAATCCTTCGAAACAACGATACAATGTATTTGTTGTACAAACTTTGTAGATAAGAACTTTGGACTCGGACGCTCACACACAATGCTAATTAAGGACTTGAAGAATTAGAAAAGCAAAGAAACCTATGCATTTAAAATTGTCAAGGAGGGGTAATTGTTGAAACCCGGTAAATTTTTGAAGAGCGACGAAAAGYCTTTATTCCTCTTTGGATAGATTTTCAAGGATGTGGCAATAAGATAAACGCATTGGCCAGACATCAGAGGCGTTCAGCCAACAGAACGACGGCAGATGACACTAAGCTACGCTTTTTCTCCCATTAGCGGCTAAATGAGCCCTAGTTTACACAAATATGTCGTTAGACATCTGAAAGCCACCTTCGTGGTTGGTGGATGGCGATGGATTACAAAGCCATATTGACGCATTTTCGCTCTCAATAGCTTTCAATGGAATTTGTTCAAAAGCTTAATGCTTCAGATAATGGCTCTTGAATGCTCTGGATTTTTGCTGTGACACTTTCAAGTGGTTTGTAAGGCTTTTGGTTCCTAAATTTGACGAGTATTATGTTTCAAACTCAATTCAAAGTTYCTTGAGCTGTCACGTTTCAAAACCCAATGCATTTGATTAAGCCACGATATTAACCTATTCTTCTTCAATACTCAAGTTGATGAACTCATCGTCAAGATGAAACGGAATTTGTCCAATTCTAGATTGTGGGTCATTAAAGAARCCAAGCATACCCCCTTGAATTCAAAGTAGCCTGCCTTAAATATACATAGAAAGACAAAAACGCGGCTTGTACACAATAGCACGGTACAGAAGGGAGTGCATTTTCTATGTTTGCACTGATGGTTTATGCATTGCGATAAAGAGTAGACATGCAATCAACTTTCATCACGATCCCTAGAGAACATCTGAAATGTTCAACATTACACAATTCCTTTTAATAAAAAAACGGTGCAGAGTCCCAGTCAATCATGTCTGAATTTATTCCACAGTTTTTTTCATATGTCAGGGAGTTGTCAACCTTAAACTATGTTAAATTAACTGCGATTCACTTTATAGGATTAATGAACAATGGTTGGACACGACCACCCATCGTGCTTATCTGCGAGAGCACTGATCATGATTACAGCTTATCTCTTTTATAAAAAGCTTTTGTGCTATAGATAAACTTTATCTTTTTGGGGTAATGGTTTTATTTTGCCATAACAACAACCTCGATGACTCTGAGATCAAGGCTTTTAGGACTTGTTTTTCTTGTACAGAGTAGCCTGCTTTGTTGTTTGATTTGAGAGAGAATTAATCAAGCAGTGGTTATTGATATAACTCATCTTCAGATTACGATTAACAAGTGCTTGTCTTGAACTCCCTCTTCTTCGAAGTCTTTTATTCCTCGAGAATATGAGCGATTACAGATTCGTGGTGTTTAATTTCTTTTAATTAAAAAAAMAAAAAAAAAAAAAAAAMAACTTTTGATGAAAGTGTGTTTTATCGAAGTAAATTAAGAAGTGTAGAGGAAGATTTTGAACAAATTGGCACGAAACTTTATTCGAAAAAATCAATCGGATCCAAACAATCAAGATAGCTCAGCAACTCATGATGAAAATGATTAAAGAAAATTAAAGATATTTATAGCAAGTAAATGATATTGCTGAAATAAATAATGCATAAGATTGCCTCCCATTGCACRCAATATTCTTACTTAATTGTTTAAGATTCGTCTGACAGGGTAGTATCAACCTTATTTATCTATCTATTTATTTACTTATTTATTTGCTCATTGCTTTGTTGATTCATTAGTTTTAGACTGAGATATCGTGGTGATGGATARTTTCATTAGTGGATGAGATATCAATGGAAATGAACGAAAGGGAGAGATAGATGGGAGAAAAGTGGTAAAGGATGCATGGGATAAGCAACAGAAGGATAACATTTTTCTACGATTACAGCATGTTGCAAAAAAGAAAGAAAGAAGCTAGAAGGAAAGGAAGAAAGGAAGAATGAGAAATAGAAAAAGAAAACTCAAATCTCCGTAAACTATCAACAATTTTAAATGGTTTATGCTTTAGAGGAAAATAAAACGAAAACTAGAAACATGACAAAAATGTTGTTACAAGGGAGCGCATAAGAGAAAGCTGGAATAAGAAAACCAAGTGAAGATTCGCTTTTTCCGCCCAAAACATATAGCTATAGTTGCCTTTCGTAGGCTTCAGTTTCACTTTTATCATTATTATTGATATATTATGGTTTTATAATGCCAATAAAACACTTCATTTTTTTAGCTTGGATGGGCCAGGTTTCCAAATACATTAACTTTACAAGAAGGACAAATAAACAAGGAGAGCATGAACACCAGTTCTAGACATAATACAGTTTTAGAYGAAAAAGAGCAGTGACCGCCACGACACTTGCGAGGGGTAAAAAAACGCCTTCTCATTTAGATGAAGCAATTCATGATGAATCCATGCGTTTGAAATTCATTGAACAGGAATGAACGATAAAAACAGATATGTTTTCTTCTTATCAACTTATAAAGTCAATTAATATTGGTATGCAGACGTTTGTCGCAGAGGAGTCTGTCAGCACTCTTTGGTACTTCATAGATTTGTGAAACTGATTATGAAATAAAACTACTACTATGAATTTGACCACGAGAAAGCTAACGTTTAAAACGTTTGAAAATCACAATATTTTCTCTTTCAAAAAACCTTCAGTTCCATCATATGACTGCAATTGTAAAACATGGTGACTTCGGAATTCGTAAAAATATCAAAAGTGTCGTAGCCGTAAATAACTGGGGAAACATAACAGAAATAAGAAATTCTAAAGACCGTTTGTTTTAACGCTTTCCATGTTTCAATGTTTGAATGTAAAACAAATAATTCCTAGAAGTGTTTTTTTCCCGGTGCTGTTTGTTCGTACGCAGGTGAAATAATAAAAACCTTTTAAACCAGTCTACAAACTAAGAGAGCATCTTTACTCAGAAGAAAACACGATTTTTTAACAAGTTTCCTCTATTCTCCAGAGTTTTTTCGTTTTCCYCCTTAAAGCACTTCAATTTCCTCGTTTTTATAATTTAGTTTTTAAGTAAGTAATTATATACTGTGTTTTTTAGTGRTGAAGATGTAATGTAAGCTAAAACTTACGTCAATGCCATCCTGGCCCAACTAGAATCAGTCGAGTAAATGGGTGTAAAAACGGGCCTCGTGTTTTTTTGTTTTTTTTCAATCATTTTCTGTCCACTTTGTTGTCCTCGTCATCTTACACACCCTCCCCCTTCCTCATAGAACATGACGAACTTGAATACTAAGATATCAAGTTTATAAGCCAAATTCAATTGAACCCTTAACTGCATTATTGAAGAAAAGATGCGTTGAATCTCCAAGTTTATCGAATATTAATAAAGCAGCCTACTTCAAATTGAATTGAATCGAAAACGCTAAGTTAACRTGGTTGCATTGTTATTAAATTATTGAAGAAGAAATGCGTTGAATCTTCAAGTTTATCGAATATTAAAACTGTAGACTTGACAAAAAAACCGCATGAAAATTGAAAGTATCTTTCTAAACCTCGTGCTGCTATTTATAGGTCGCTGAGCAGGGTATAAGGATAGCCAGGAGCTAGCCAATGACGAACACAGAAACCATTCTAGTGTCATCCTTAGTTACTTCAGTACTAGACACTTTTCAATGATCTGTGCGTTTGATTTGTTTGGAAAAGTTTCTTGGATAAAGTCTTGCTTTTTCATTTCATTTGTGAGTCAAATTTTCACAAGGGAAAGCAGTATTTTCTTTCTTTTAAATGATTTTCTATTCCTTTATATACAGGGTTAGGAATGACCCTAAATACTCAAACAACAAATCCAAAAAATAAACACCAATGCGTAGCGTAGATAATCAAAATAAAAACTCAAAGAAGGATTGAAAAATCTTACATTGTTTTTCTTTAGCTCAAGTTAACACCACCATTATTTTCGAGAGGGAACAATAAATCGGCTATTTTAAATATGATTGAGTCTGTAATATGTAACAAAATTTTACAGGCACCCAAAAACTCTGAATCTGTTCTTGAGTTTTGGCGACCTTCAATTGGTGATTCAAACCATATAAAACATAGAAGAATAACTGCAATTCTATTATCAAAAAACGTAAGCCTAAACGAGTAAAATAAAACGGCCAAGAATAAGTCGTATAACTTGTTATAAGCTTTCATTTCTGAGCTAATATCAGAGGTAACACGATAGTATGTTTTTGTCGAATCTTCATGATGTTTGCACTTAACACATCTGACAAGCTCTACTGCAGACACCTGCGTGTACTGACGATGGCAACCTGCTCTTATGACGTTTTGAACACTACTCGAGAGAGAGATAGTTAATTTAAATTTGTTCAATGAGCCCACAGGGAAAGATAACAATAACAGTCATCATAATTCCAAATATAGTTGTTTGGATTTTCTCCTTCATTTTGGAAATTTGAAGGAAGGTTTTTGTAAAACTAAATTTTTCAAATTTTGGTTCAAAAATTCAACATGCATTGGAAAATTGAAAGAAAAATAAATGATTGTTTACTAGGAAAAAAAAAAACCCCGGGCTTTTGAAATTCGTAAAACGGAAAATAATTACCATAGCTAGAAAGAGCATGTTAAAATCATTGAAACTTAAGTTCGAAGGACAAACAAGTTCAAAACTCGCKAAGATATGATTTTTTGAAAAGTGGTGTATCTTGTGAATGTATACAGGAATATTCTGGATAAAGTAGAGGCTAAGTCTGAACAACATCCAACAACATCCAACAAGTCCCAACAACACGCAACATGGTGTTCAAACGCTCTCAAATATTGGGCCAAACAATGTTGGATGTTGTTGGCCAACGATGTTACGTGCGTTTGCACAGGCCTTGAGCAACAGCAAAGTGTTGGATGAAAATATAAATATGTAATACATATTTCTTCCTGCAGGGCCATGTGATCACTACCCTTCGACATACTGGAGTCCAACCTTATACACTACAAACGCGTATGGCTGTAGTCCATTGTCTGGATGTGAGACATGTTATAACCACGCCTCCTACCCTTATTTGGCAACAGTAGGATATGCAGGTTAGTGGGGAAACTAATGAATTTAAATGGCTTTATGAAAGTACTGTCATCCTTTAAAACAACGACGTGGTTAATAGTATATGGCATGTAAGTCTTTTTCTTTGGTCTGAGTTACGTCTGTCCGGTTGTTTGGCGAACTACAAACGTGCCAAACATGGCTACACAAGCTAGAGTGCAAACCATATCCGTTAAATAGTACTAACTTATTAGTACAAATAACACCAATGGAACAATTGAAAACAATAGAAATAGATGTGTTCAGGGCTATATAGTTTTTGTGTTATTTCACGGTTATATGACTTGCACCTTAGTCGTAAATTGTCACCCTCAAATTTCCTTTTTCGAAATCAAAAGCTGCCTTCGAAGCCAAACAGTTCTATTTTTGCTTGAAGTTTGACACATTTCTTGTTTTATCTCACCAGGCATATACGAGTATGACAGAGCAGGGCTCGGTAAAGTTCACATCGCCAGCCCAGTTCTTTCCAACCAAAATAAATCGCGCAAACCAAGAAGACCCTGGACTCGAGCGGTGTTTTCTAATCTTCAACGCAAGGGCCTCGAAAAACGCTTTCAAATTCAGAAATATTTAACGAAAGCCGACCGCCATCAATTAGCATCAATGTTGGGACTGAGTGACAATCAGGTAAAAGTTTGGTTTCAAAATAGGCGAATGAAATGGAGACAAGAAGCGAGAGAAACGGTGACAGGAACAGATGTCAAGACAGATAGTAATTCAACTGTATTATAGATTGTTATACTCATGCCAACTTATTCTACCTCTTATTCGACTACCTCATCATCCATTTTCATAAAAAGAACAGGCCTAAGTCATGTGTATTACTAACGTACATGTGACGTCATAGCCGCCATGTTGGATGGATGTAAATGAGAACTTTGTTGTGGGATGCTTTTTTATATCATCCATCATGGCGGCCATGTTGTCCGTTGTTTCATTCTCTTGAGGATGMTCGAACCTTGCACCTTAAGACAGCCGCCAGGTTTGATGGATAAACGGGTATATCCAACACGGAGGCCATATGCTTTGCCATTTCATTCTCTCGTGACTCTTGCGCCCAAAGAAGGTTATGGTGYCAAGATAACACGGCTAATCACGTGACTAACTATAAATAGCCTAATATATGAGTATTATAAAAAGTAGCTTATAAACTTAGACGGCGATATGACTGTTGACTGGTCATGATGGTCATGCCTGAACAACTGCACTGTACGCAACCTATCCATTGTTTCTCATTGAATGTATTGTATAGCCAGATATTCTGTAAATATTTCATGCATGTAGGGATCCAGAATGGAGTTATATTATTACCCTTCTTTTAAAATGCCTGGGGGAATCAGCCCGCCTGTAAAGAGGTATTTTTTTACAGGAACGATGCCTCTGATCCTCTCCCCCGCATTTRAACACAGGTGATATTTTGATACCAACCGCAACCCTCGGACTGAACCAAAATTACAATCAAAAATTTCAAAGAAAATTTGAAAAAAAACTCTGGATCCCATATACAGTTGATACGAAAGAGATTATATCTCAGAAAGTATTCTCATATGTGAACTCTTGTTTCAAATAGTCCGCGTTTTCAAATTGGGCGTGGCGTTTTTCCATTGCAGACTTCATGCGTGGTAAAACGTTCCTTAAATAATGCAACTTTTAAAGAAAAATAAAGAGTTATACTAAAGGGAATGACACGTTGCCTGGAATGGAAAAACATTACGCGTTATATTTAAACTAAAGCTCGATGTTTTAGTAAAAGTCACAGAAACCTTTAGTAAGTGGGWATATGTAGGACTAAAAGAGACTATTTCTAAAGTCAGAGACCATTTATTTTTCAAAGGAAGGATTAATTGTGGAAAGAAAGGGATAAAACAAATATATATATATATATGGTCTATGTGATTGGTTAGTTAATGAGAGGCAAAAATCAAACGGGGAAGCCCTTTGAGTGTTTTATGATTACTGCTATGTTTTGTGTGCCTGTCCATTTATTCTGGGTGTTGTCCCAATGCGAATAMTTGTATTCTTGTTAAAACATTTTATTGCAAAGTTAAACGATAAAAGTAGACGGTGTCCCAGAACGTCCCATTTCAGACCATTCATGATTAGGGAATTAGCGTGAAAAGAGTTTTAAAACATTCCTTGCCCAACACTCGTGAAAATTTAAAAATCAGATAACTGGTCAGCAGGACAAGAAGTTTATTGCGCATGTGGTATTAGTTTACGCAGTCAATAACGGGGGAGGGTAGCCATGATTGGCCAATCAACCTCAAGTAATTCTTTCTTCTGCCTTTCAATGTTGCGAGCATTTCTCCCCCTCTCATTTTTCTCTACCCCACCCCCGCAAGAGCAATTGCGCATATAAGGTACTGGAATGGCAATCTTCTGGTCTGGTACGGGGCAACACTCAACATATTTGTTCAGTTCTATTTACTGCCTCACTGTAAATTAAAGTCAAAAGCTAATAATGGTCAAAGATTCCATATTGAAAAAATATACATGTCAATATACCAAAGAAATATATATAGTGTTTAAGAGAAACAAGTAGATAGAAAAAATAAATAAAAGGGAAGAAAATATAACTTTGTTCTTGATGAAATAGTTTGAAATACATTCGTCCCTCACCCCGACCTTACCCTTCTCCTCGTCATTTCTTTATGTACATCACATGTTATGGTATTTCAGAGGTTGACCGAGAAAACTAGGTATTCACTGTTATAAAAAGTTGTTTTTAAAGTGTTTAATTGCACATCATTTGGTGCTCACTTTACGACGCAGTGTGCAGTAATGTGATGTTATGTGAAT